GAGAACCTGGGGATTACAGTAGACCGTAAGCTTAATACCAGCTAACAGTTTATTCTTGTTGCATTAATGAGCAATTCTTCCACTCTGTTCAGCAGTGTTGAGACTTGACCTGGAGTACTGGGTCCCACACTTCAAGACAGATATGGATGGATCAAAGAGATCAGTGCAGTGTGACAAGATTAGGGGCTTGGGAAGCGAAGCTTATGAAAAAAAAAAAAAAAAGCTGAAAGAGCTCGTATTGCTTAGTTTGGAGAAGAGAAGATGGTAGGGGGATGGGGGGGGTTGATAACAGTCTTTAAATATCCAAAGGATATTATAGAGAGGATGGAGATAGGCTTTCCTTTGTGCCCACAGGAGATAGGACTAGGAGTAACAGCCTCAAGCTTCAGTAGAGAAAGTTTAGATTAGAGATTTGGAGGAGTTTTCTGACTAGGAGGCTAGTCAAGCATTAGAACAGGCTACCTAGAGAAAAGTTATGGAAACTCCACTCCCGAAAATTTTCAAGAGCAGGTTGGACAGACATTTGGCTGGGGTGATTTAGTCACGAGTTACCTTGCCTTGAGCAGGTGCCTGGAATAGATGACTTTTGTGAGGTTCTTTTCAGCCCTCTGATCCTGACTTACAAGAAATGTATTAGGTAACTTTTAGCAGGTGGTAGCTGAAGCCAGACTTACCCCTATCTCTTAATTTAGCTTGTTTTGAGGCGCACACACTTTATCAAGACTCCCTTCTACAAACGAGTCACTACCACCACCACCACCAAAATGGACCAAGCTCACTCACCTTCCAGGAACCAGATCCTGCTCCTTTTCCTCTTGTACCTTTGGGAGGTGTCTTATAACTGCCCTATTAGATCTCGCTTGGTCACTCAGGTGCTCATTTATACTCTTAGGCCTGAGCTAGCTCTGCCCCCTTGTTAGGGCACAGGTGGGGCCAGAGGCAGCAACTTCTGCCTCTTGCAAATACCATCCCTCAAATGCTCAGAGCACTTGGCCCAACAAACACTCAAACAGAGCACGATAGCCACCACCAAACAAGCAGACAAAGCACCTATTGCAGCTGACAGCATTTTTTGTTTAAGCATAATTAGCTCTACAAATTAACCTACAATAAAGCCATATATACAATAGCAAGTTTTATCCTAAGAGATCTTCAAGTTCTTTATTAATTTAGTTCCGAGAAGACAGAGTCTTCTTTGCAGAGATATGGCTATATGGGAGACTGTTTAAGCAGAAAGTCTAGAGACTGAAAAAAGTTACGCACTTACCCAAATTCAGTGTCAATAATGCTCATTACTTCCAGAAACAGCCTGCCCCAAGCTTGAAGCACCTCAGTAAGGCTGGGCTTCGCAGAGTCCCTTGTGCTTCTAATAGCCTTGAGCTGTCAATTTTCAGGCTGTTTTAGAGGCCTTCCAATTGACAACACCTATGTATTTTCACCAATGATGCAGTTAAAGTCAGTACAACCAATACATTACAAAGTAACAGTGGGGCCTAGAATTCCAGCATACTTAAGCAGTTAATGTGCTTAACCAGTGAAGATAGCTGGTATTTGTTACAATACCCATCCCACTTCTTTGCCTGTTACTTAAATTGTGCTATACAGTTAAGCTAATTATGTCCTTGTCTGTTATGCATGTAAATAGAGGACATAGTAGTTGTAGTTTTTCTTACTGAATCTGTATTGGAACATTAATCTTTCTAATTTGCCTAAACCATTTCAATATAATGCTTGCAATTTTAGTAATCTATGTTAGAGGCCAGTACCTTCCCAACAGTTCACTTCATAACTAAGGCTAGAAACCAACATCAGGGAATGGAAAAAAATCAGCTGTGCCACAATGTATTACAACATACTTGATTTACTTGACTAGGTGAAATATCTCACCCTTTGTCCTGCCCTGATAGTGCAGGGCAAGGGGTGACATGACCACTATTTTCCCTGTGCAAACTATGTACAATGTTGTGTGTGTGCCCTCCTGGGGTGGGGGCACTTAGGGGGTGGAACCTGGGGACAGACAGCCAGCACCCCAGCCTCTGGCCATTCCCCCACAGGTATGCACCCATGTGGTGAGCCTGAGAAGCTGGGGGCTTCCCCAAGGGTGACAGCGGCTTCTGGTCTCCCATAGTCAGTGGCCAGGGGCAGCATGTGGTCCTGGCCCTGCTGCCCGCAGCTCCTGCTCTGTGCCTGCATGGAGTTGGATTGAGTAGCAGAGCTGGGACCAGGCAAGGCGATTTGGTGGTGGGGGACCCAGGGTGGGGGCCTGAGCAGGGGCTTCTGGCCAGTGGAGGTGGCATTGAACCACCACCCAAGCCCAGGGGGGCCTGCTGCTGGGTGATGAGCGGCTGCCAGGGTCCAGCCAGGGCTATGGTTGGAGGCAAGGCAGCAGGTGGCACAAAGGTGATGGCTAGGGCCAGGATGGTGTCCAGTAGGGCTGTGCAAAATTTCACTGGCTGTTTTGATTCAACGTGGTTTTGACTCATTTTGAGCTCGAAACAGTGAAATTGAATCAAAATGAAGGGCTTCGAAACAGCCTTGAAACAAAATGAGGCTAGTCGAAATGTTTTGAGTTTCGAAGCCAGCAGTGAGGTAGTGAGTGATGGGAGAACCAGGGCTGCACTTCCAGCAGCAGCCGGGAGTGCAGCCCTGGCTCCTGCTACCGGGCTGTGGGAAGCCAATAACAGCACAGGGGAAGGGAACTGAGCCCAGGCTCAGTTCCCCTCCCCAGTGCTGCAATCGGGCGGGGGTGGGGAGTCAGCCTCCCTGCCCCCACCTGCTCACAGGGCCAGGGATGGGGAGTCAGCCCAACTGGGCTGACACCCCGCCCCCAGCCCCATCAAGTGAAACCTCAGAACAGCCTAACTCTTTGGACAAAGCAAAACAGAACAGCTGTTTTGAATTTAAATGAAATTTGAAACGGAACACTGTTCCATGGAAACCTCGAAACTGAAGGCAAAACGGAACAGTGCCGTTTTGCACAGCCCTAGTGTCCAACACCCGGTGGTCCTTTTCTCTGTGGCCTCCACTGCTCTGGCTGCAAGCGCAGCCTGCTGCTCCAGGGTCTCCATGCACCAGTTCTCCAAGACCAGGAGCTGCACCATAAACTCCCGGTCCCACACCTCCTTGTATTGGTTCTGTGCACCCTCAGGGGAGACATCCTCCACCCTCCACCTGTCCTGGGAGGTGACATCCTCTGCCCTCATGTCCACCAGCTGGTTCTCTGAGGCTGGCACCAGGTGGTCCAGGGTGCCCAGCCTCAGATTGGGGGTCATGCATGCACAGGTGCCCACAGACCATGATAAGTCAGCTGGGCAGGCCTGGGCCCAGGTGGCTGCCAGCTGAGCCACCTGTACCTGCTCCCTCCCCAGGGGCTGGCAGGCTGCTGGCCATAGGCAATCTGCCTCCCCCACCCCAGTCCCAGGCCAGGCCAGGCTCCTGGCAGCACCTGCTGCCACAGTTTAAGAGTCACTCCCCCAACTTCTCTTGTAGGCCAGCCTGTCTCCTGTGTTGCCACCATGGCATAGGGCTCCCAGACAACTGAGACACGAAGCTACCCACAGCCCTGTCCTCCCTACAGGGGGCCTCTCCAGGGAGGCGCCCTGCATCACCCCCACCCTCCCAAGCAGCTGTTCTGCGCTTGGGGGCAGCGTGAGGAGTTGTTTGTTTGGACTGTGAGCTTGATCCATTATACCCTGATGATGATCAGGGATCCTGGTTTTCCCTGATAAACAATTGCAAATTCTCTGACAAAACCCTCAAAATCCATGATTAAAATTAAAGGCCCCCCCAGCCCTGCTCATGCCCTGTGCCCCCCAGCCCCTGCCCCCCAGCCCTGCAGAACAGGCCCCCAGCTGCCTGGGCTATGGAGCCAGGGACTCAGGTCCACAGTGCTCTGCCCCCAACAGAAGGCAGCTGCAGCAGGAGCACAGAGCCAGCTCCCCCACTGTTGCTTGCTGCAGGCTCTTTGCAAAAGCAGGAAACGCATGGGTTTCTCCTCTAAAAGGTAAAATCTATTTTTTCCTCTGATAAAATAGGGAAATCCATAGGAAACAGAAAACCCAGCTCCCTACTGATGACCATGGTGCCCCAGGTGCACCTGCATACCTGGCACAGGACTCTGAACTTTGACGATGCAGCAGGCAAGCCTACGCTTCTCCACAACCTCTGCTGCCACCGCATGGAGGGCTCCCTGTGGCTGCGCTACATGTCCCTGGCCCTTACAACCGAGGAGGACATGCTGTGTTCCTTGGTGTGTGAAAGGCCCCATGGCTGTCCCAGTGCTGCTGGGCCTGGGCAGCTGCCCGAAGCAGCCAGTGAAGGGGAACAGCGCATGTACGTGAGCACTACTGCACAGTAACTACAGACAAGTAAATTTACTACTTGCATTTGCAGGTAGCAATTTACTTGCTAGTAGTGCAGTAAGCATGTGCATGTGTAGTTTCCCTCTTTTTTGTAGGTGGTAAAATAAAAGCAGATGGAAATATTCTATGAGAAATTTTATTTCAGTAAATTCAGTTTTTTGGTGTAACAGTGAAGCAGACAACCCTTTGAAGTCCTCACAAAAGCAGTGTGGCTTTGTCCTATAACCTAGTAACTCCTTGTTTGTAAACAGCCCTCCTAAACAGTGGGATCTTGGACCTTATCTTTGAGTCTTTGCAGCCACATACTTCTTCATTGTTTAAGAATCTTCTTATGAATTGCCCATGTAATAGCCTGTATCAGTACTTATGTAGGAGTGTTGCTATTTCTCATGGCTAAGACTTACCTGAAGGCAAAACTAGACCCCTTCAGAATACTCAAGGCACTGACTTCAGATAGCTGTGTAGACTTCCAGTGCATTTTTAAAATGCTTTGGCATTCCCTCACTAGTAAAATATGTAAGAACTAACAATAATTATCTTATTCTTAAGCTTAGCTTGTCTTATGACTCAGTGATGTAAAAAGAATTGTATTTCATCCTTTGCTTTTGGTTTGGAAATAACCTCTTTTTCCATCTCTAGTGCACCCTTGACTCAGAAGTAGCTCTGCGAGTGGGAGGCGACTTCTGCTTTGATCCACAGCCTGGAGACTCTCCTGTAAACCTTGTGCTGATAGCAGGAGGAGTAGGAATTAACCCATTGTTCTCCATACTGCTACACGTAGCAGATCTTTATACAAACCAAGAGACCAAGGGAAGCGGGTATAAAATGGGAACTGTGAAACTGCTGTACAGTGCAAAGAACACAAATGAGCTCTTATTCAAGGTAGGAAAAAGGAAACGGTGTTTTGGCTGTTTATTTCTTCCTTTCAGAAGGCTTGTCCATTTATTGTTATGTATTATTGCAAAGCCTTAGTGCCCTGTATAGTCCTGTTGCGCTAGGACTATATAGAGCCAAAAGATCCTCCCTGCCCCAGAAAGATTCTTTATTATGCCAATCTAAGAATGACAGGAATTCTGGAAATGTATCTGGCTCCCATTAATTTCAGTGGTGCAAACTCAGGCACTACTATATACATTTTAATGTAGCTTTCAATCTTCACCCCCCTCAATGCTGTTTTTTATTGAAATTTAATTCCTTTGACTTTGCTTCCTGTTTGGGAACATCTTACCTCATGATCCAATGTAATACATTTCCAAAGAGACCACTGGAAGTTAATTAAGCCACAGGTTGTCAAGTACCTCTCTAGAACCTGTTCTAATGGCAAATGCTTTCTGAATAATTCTGACTAGAAATGCATGAAACTGTGATATGTGCCTGTGTGCATCTGCAGGATGTCCACATTAATGTATAGTCCAGATGAAGGCATGAAGAAGCATCTGAGAGTGGAACTTAAAAATGGACATCCATGCTCAGATGTATTAACCCAGCTCTATTTCTATATTTCAATAACATTTTATTTTTTCCTTCAAAAGACATTTTTAAAAATAGCTTCTGTTATCTTAACATGAAAATGCAAGCATATATTAAGAAGGGGACGGGGACTGTTATTACCATATGTTTTGCCCGATTCTCATTTAGAATAGTCATATCATTACACGGTGTTGCCTGTTCAGTATAATATAGTCCTTGCAATATACTTCAGCACCATCAACATTTATGTAGCAGAGGGGGACCATTATCCTGTGGCAGTTTAAGACTAAATAGTAGAGCACTAGGATATAGGGTCACTGATAACACTGTTAGGGTCAAATCAGCACTAAGTAAAAATTCTGTCTCTAATGAGTTAGTTTGCTTTGAAGAAATTAAAGGCTGGATCATGAGATACTGAGGAAAATAAACACCCAAAGTTAAGCCAAAGATCTCTTATGGTTACAAAAGTGGCCAATCAGTGTGAAATTAAGAATAGCAGTATGCTTGCTACTAAGATTATTAAGTCAATGAGAGGCCTCAGGCTGGAGTCTCTACTGGGACTGGCTTAATATAGATTTAGAGGAAACAAACAATTTTTTCTTGGAAAAGAAAATATTTTTGGTTATTAAAGCCTGGAAAATTTCCAGTTGTATTTAAACATCTTAGTGGATTGGTCAGCAAGCTGTTAAATGTGCATGTTATTTGACATAAAATGAAAGTTGCAGCTCATTGGCACAACACTGTATAAAGTACTCACATATGTGAAGCAGCTTTGGCCACCGTCTTCCTGGTCAGAATCAACCTGGAAATTTCAGTGAAGATATCTACCCATTGCCAAGACAAATCATTGTATTTTCCTTCCTTGTTTATGAAAGAAGTGATTAAAAAAAACTGCAGAACCCGTTATGACATTTGAACCTGACGGGGTCCTCATCTAACAGAATAGCCCCAGTTATAGTCACAACACAATAAAAATTACATATCTGGAAAAGGAAGAAGAGATCATTTTAGGAATGTCAGGTCTCCTTCATACTAGTAGTGTGGGGTGGTTCAGACAAAAGTTTGTAGCTTGATATCTTAAATAAATACTCAAATAACTGATAGATTTTTCCTGTTCCCCTGTTGTATTACACATCTTAAAAGCAACAGTTCTTATAGCAGTATTTTGATTCTTTCCCACCTTCACTGTGTTGTCCTTTATAGATCATGTTTCTTTAATGCCTGCCTAGTTTGTTTTGTGTTCGTTAGTTGGCCCCTTCTTTTTCAGTGTGGATCATCTCTTTCCCAGGTGTCTGGGACAGGCCCAAATGGTGCCCGAGTCCTAGTTGATGCCTCTAGGCCTCCTCGTAATACAAACAATAAGTAATAGGAAACAGGTTGGATTTGGGGGGCAAAGTGCATTAGTAAGACAGTTATTGGCAGAGCAATGTGTAGAAGTGTCTCTGCACCCAGCTTTTCTTGTCTAAAGTCTAATTGTGATGCTTATATATAAGGATGTATACCTCACCAAAGGTTACTCCCAAATTAAAAACAGGGCTTCAGAAGGGGTTGAGAGAGCCTGTAGGTCCCTCTGTGGGTAGTAGAGCCTGGTTCATTCTGTGTGGCTGGAAGAGCAGGTTCCTCAGTTTTACATACTAGTTAGTAAGCAAACTAACGAACAGTAAAATAATCCAGAATGCTGTAGAACAGAGCTGGTGTTACTTCAGCATATTCTAGCTAATATACTTTCTTCAAAATAAATTAATAGAGCACTCCCTCAATCCTCTACAGTAAACAAAAGCCCCAGATAGTAAACCTCTGTCTGTGCTCTAAGCTTTGAGCAGGAGCGGGGTCAGCCTGTGGCCTTGGGCTCTTTGTGGGGCCCATAGCAGATCAGGGAGAGGACAGAGAGCCCAGCAGCAGAGAGGGCAGGAAGCAGAAAGTAGAGCAGGAATTTGGGCAGGGAGTAGGAAGCAGAGCAGCAGATTGGGTAGAGGAAGAGGATCAGAGTAGCACTCAGGGAGGGCATGGATCTGATTTCTGGCACTCTTGCCAAAGAGGTCGGCCTCAATGACTTAAGAGCAACTCAAGGAGGAACAAGGTGGGGGGGAGTGGCTGCTTAGGAGCTTGTGTGCATTGCTGTGTGCAGGAGCCTGTAGGGACAGTGAGCTGAATCGCCTCAACTTTAACTGAATGATGCAGTGTTAAAATTGGAGCACTTTTGCTAAATTTGTATCACTACAGGCTTCTGCACACTTAATTGTTACAGTGTAGCAGCAGCTCCAGGTTGAACTGTGTCCTTAGACTGTAGATAGTAACAAATGAAGTCTTAGCTTGAGATTTCATTGCTCCACTTGTTTATTTAAATTTTAACCATGCAATAGCTAAAGCCTCAAAGTTTTGGTGAGAGCAATCACAGCGGTGAATTAGGGAACTGAAAATGATCAGGTTTCTACTTTGAGTATTAATAGCATTAAATCTATACTGTAACGGGTTTTACAAAAACAAGAAAAGTCTGTATCTTTACCCGAGGTCAGGTGGCTTCAAGGTTGAACTAAAAGGTTTGGACAAATTAAATGCACGAAGTGCACATTTTAAATTTCAATGCTGCAGGTTTTTGGAAGGCGGAGAGAGGAAGTGGGGACAGCTGCAAGACAGGAAGCCATAAAAGAGCGGAAATGGTTATAAGATGCAAGTGTTGATTAGTTACAACCTGTTGCAGAAAAGGAATAATGTATTAGTCGTATATGGTAGCATATTCCAGGTATAGAAATGCTGTGCACTTTAAAAAGTGCTGCCCTGTAAAAGAAAAAAAGAAAAAGCAAATTTTCAACTTTCACATGCAATATGTGCATAGTCTAATAGTGTATGCTAACTATTGATGTTGTTCTGGGACCTTGTGCACTCATCTGCTTTGATTTAATGGACTGTGGTATAACCAAGTAAGTTTAACATTCCAGGAAAATATCCTTGGTTTGATGAATGCATTTCCTGGAAAGATCACATGCGACTTCCATGTTACCCAGCAGAGTTTGCAAGTCTGTGAAGAACTTCAGCCATATATTATAGGTATGTAGTGTGGCTGGCAGTACACAGATGCATAAAAAGTTGTCAGTCCCATTGGAGATATCATTAGTGTTGTTTAGGAGGGCTGTGCAAAATTTCGCCGGCTGTTTCGTTTTGAGGCTGTTTAGACTCATTTCGAGCTCAAAACAGCAAAATCAAAATGAAACAGAGGGCTTCAGAAAACAGCCTTGAAATGAAATGAGGCCACTCAAAACATTTTGAAAGTTTCGAAACATTTTGAGTTTTGAAGCAGCAGCCCAGCCAGGTAGTGGGAGGCAGGGGAGAGCCAGGGCTGCGCTCCCAGCAGCTCCATGCAGCCCCATGTGGCTCAACCCGGCAGGGAGCACACCCCTGGCTCTCCCCATCTCACGCTGCTGGGCTGCACTCCCTGGTGCTGGTGGAGCCGGTTGGAGCGCAGCACCAGCTCTGCCTGCCTCCCGACGCCGGGCTGCGCTCTGATCAGCTCCACCAGCCCCAGGGAGCTCAGCCTGGTGGTGGGAGACAGAGCCAGGGCTGCGCTCTGCCTCCTGCCACTGGGCTGAGTTCTACAGGTCTTGAAGCCACTGGGAACCCACCCCAGTGGACGCAGGTGGGGTGCAGCCTGGAGGCTGCACTGGGCTGGGTTCCCAGCCACTTGAAGCCCAGTGCAGTCACTTGAAGCAGGATCGCAGCACTGGGGAGGGGAACTCAGCCAAGCTAAGTTCCCTTCCCCAGCCTGATCACAGCGGTATTTTAAGTCTTATGAAATACTAAATTATCTATATAAAAGCACTCAAAGTGAGATTGGATTCCAGCAGTTGAGTGGGGGAAAACTTATGTGCAAATAAATTAAATGGTTTATTTTTCTGTATTTTTTAGATCTTACCATAATTTCATTTTCACAAATTCAGTCTTACAGCTGTGCTGAATTAGAAGCAAGAAAAATTAATTGAAACTTTGTGCCCAACCCTCTCCTCCCTACGATACGTTATCTTTGCTTAAAGCTGTAATGATGGAGTAGGATTAGCCTATTGCCTTTAAGGCATGCTTGATCGATTCCATTTCTGTTGTCCTTGGGTTAGAGTAAGTGATCCATTGCTGCTTAGTTCTACGATAGTTTATCTTCTTGTTAAGGGAAATTGAACAAGTAATGTCCTGTAAATTGGTTTGGACTTTTCTTATATGCTAATCTAAATTTTCAAGTGAGTAAACAGTTTTAGATGCCTCATAATTTTTGATATTTAACTCCATAAACCTTAAAATGGGTCTGAGTTTTCAGAGAGCAAGTGCCCACAGCAGCAAAAAGCACCCATCAGTTTTTGAAACATTAGGTCTCTGCCTCTTGATTGTGTTGAAGATTTTGTCTTCATATAAAATACTTCTGTTGTTAACTATTTACATTCTCTTTGTCAGAGGGAAGAATATCTGCAAAGGATCTGGAAAAACATGCATCTAAGGATACTTTATGGTACATCTGTGGTCCACCTCCAATGATAGAATCTATATCCAAGTTACTAAAAAACCTTGGTGTTCCTGCAGACTGCATTTTCTTTGAAAAGTGGTGGTAGCAACAGCTATTTAGCAGAAACTAAACTATATAAATTAATTTATATATATTTTGATAGACGAAAAATAACTGAAACGCACTGAAGATGGATTCTGCTATGAACTAACTAAATGCAAGACATCACTAGTTACACATGGAATCATCCTGTATCCAATAACCATTCTTAATGATACTATAGTGCACTCTGATTTGGGTCATTATAGTTTTACTGCTTTTGAAGAAAAGCATGGTGTATTTTATATTAAAGATGAGAACCATTTAATTTTGTGCATGTTTCACTCATTTGTTTTGATGGTAGTATGCATCTGCTTTTTGTACATTCATTTATTGTTAATTAAGCAGGTTTTATTGTTAATTAAAGCAAGTTGGTAATATTTTCATTATGCCTTTAACAAAGTAGTAAATAAATGTGCAAAAATTATATAGTCTGTGGTATAACTAACTCAGGCTATACTTTTATAAGCTAAGCCAGTGGTTCTCAACTTTTTAGACTCGAGGCACCTCAGAAAATTCTCTCCTAGCTTTCACTCTTTTTTGACTACAGAAAAAGAGCTATTTTTCTGTTGCAAAGAGCTCAGAAAGACAAGAACAGGTCAGAATGTTTTTAACACTGTGGATTCCTATGTGAAGCATTTATCTTGTGAATCATATTTCCACAAGTAACAGTGCTAACCTGTGGCACCCATGACATGCTTGAAAGGCTGTCAAGGCACCCTTGGGTGAAGATCACTGAACTAAGCCAAGCCAGACTGGGTACTTGGCAGAGCGACCCATCCAGGCTATAATCAATAAATGGCTCAGTTCCCAAAGTCATATGTACATGCAGAAAGTCATATATGCACAGAAGCTGTGTTCTTGGGGCTGAAGTCTTTTGCATGAGACTTAAACTTTCTGTATAAGACATTTTGGAAAAATAGGTCACTGCTTAAACTAAATTAGCTAGTTACATTTGATTTACTTATCTACTTTTTATATTGGCCTTTCTGTTGTGAAAGGGAAGAAGCCAACTTAGCCATCCTTACTTTACACCCTTATAGAGATGGAGGACTTTAGTGTAATGGATTCCATTACTGGCATGTTAAGAGTTTCAACCCCAAATAGTACATGCCAAATATTATGAGATTTCTTTTTTTTTTTCCCCCACTTTCCCCTTTATAGAATCATAGAAGTAGGGTCAGAAGGGACCTTGTAGATCTTCAAGTCCGACCCCCTGCCTGGGCAGGAGACAAACTGGGCTCAAGTGACCCCAGCCATGTAGGCATCGAGCCGCTTCTTAAAGACCCCCAGAGTAGGAGCCAGCACCACTTCCCTTGGAAGTTGGTTCCAGATCCTAGCCGCCCTAACTGTGAAGTAGTTCCTACGGATGTCTAACCTGAACCTACTCTCCAACAACTTGTGACTGTTATTCCTTGTTATCCTGGGGGGCGCTAGGAGAAACAAAGTCTCCCCAAACCCTTCTGGTCCCCCCTAGTGAGTTTATAGACTGTCACCAGGTCCCCCCTCAGCCTTCTCTTGTGAAGGCTGAACAGGTTCAGGTCCCGTAGCCTCTCATTGTAGGGTCTGCCCTGCTGTCTTCCTTTACTGGTACTGTATAAGGTCCCTGTTTGGAGGAGATTTCAATACAAAATATAAAAGAGGTCACAAGTGAGAAGCCACAAGGCAACACACTGTCAAGTGGTTGTTTTGCATTATTACAAATTTATTTCAATGTTTAAAAAAGAAATGCATCTAGATATGTAGTTTATAAACCTGAGTGAGGTAGGAAGTTGAGATGACTTGTGGCAGATGCCATATGGAGAGGCATGAGCTTTTAAAAGGACGAAGATTACAGAGGAGGTCGGAGACAGAGAGAAGGTGAAATAATTTCTCATTACTTTTCATCATCTGGAGTTATAACCCTTTGAGAACAGATAGAAGCAGAACTATTCTAGTGCTAGAACCAAAACGGTATGCCAGGTTCAGATCCAAGACACTAATGCAAACATTCCCCCATGCACCTAAATTGAAATTTCATATTTAAGGCTTTATCCTTTCTGTACCTGAAAGTGACTTTTAGATGAACTAGGCAAGTCCAGAGAGTTTTTGGTTCAGAGTTGAAAACTAACCTCAGGCAAACACAAACTTGGTTTTTAACAACATATTGTTTGTATCAGGACATTACAAAGTACTTCTGAGCATAAGCAGCCACTTACTACATCACACGCATCTGAAATCACTTTGGAGAATTCAGGATTGAGTGTAGGTACTATGAATTGTAGGTACCAGAAACGAGAAAGAATGTAATGGTTATTCCCCCCCACCCAAAAAAACAAACAAACCCCAAAACAAAAACAACCCATCCAAATAGAGTAAGAAAGTGGAGTGCTACCAATATATTTCAGACAAGATTTACTTCCTAATTTTCACCCACATGCATAACTGGATTTTATTCCTATTTTCTTTACAGGCATATAGAGCTCAGCAGCTTCACCTGATAAGGCTTAGTTGGCTTCATTCACCCCTGAATGTACTATCTTCCTTCCCCCCAAACTAGAATTTTTGCATACTTTTAACTGATCTTAATGATTGCCAAGCTGGAGAAATGATTTCCCCCCAGCTCATGCAATGTCTCTAATTCATTGCAGGTAGACAAAAAAAAAAAAAAAAAAAAAAAAGGGCAGGCTAGAGATGCATCTTAGAGAGTAAACAGCACAGTACAAAGACCCAATCCTGCTCCACTTGAATCAGGGGAAAATTACCTCAATTTCATATTTGTGTTACTACATTTCAATAACTTGCATGTGACTGAAGGATTGAGAGATAAACATTAAAAAAAACCCAAACCCTCTCTCCCCCCAATTTAACTGCACTATCCACTTAGGAAAACACACAATGGGAGTATTATTGCCCTGAGTGCAAACAAACAATACCTTAAGAAAACCTATGAACAATTTACCAATTCTTGGTAAATAGCATATTGTCCTGGCCCTGCGGGTGGTTGCTCCACTCCTGTCCTTCAGACAGTGACGTAGTGTTGCTGGGCGCAAACTGTGACGCCGCAGCCATGTTGCCATAGCAACATGCTCCCACATTATAGTGCGTTGCTACGGCGACATAGGGGCTAAAAATAGCAGTGCGCCTCTAGCATGATGCAGTACAGGCTGTTACTGCACTGTCATTTAATAAAAAATGAAAGTACTAAATAATAGTGCAGCAACAATGGTGCCGTAGGGACGTGCAGACACACCCAGTGCCTCCTATTGCCTGGTAATGTTAGGAAGCCAACTAATTAGGCAATTAAAAAAAGAACTGATGGAATATTGACACAGTACCAAATATCTGGTAATCTGAAGTCATCTCTTCTGGGGTATGAGCCAGCAAATGGGAGTCTGATTGCCTCCACTCACTAGGACTTCAGGAGGGTGACCCTGTTTGTCTCTTGGCTTCCAAAATTCCACACAGACTTTAGGGAATCTCCTGGGTTCACAAGGGGAAGTAAAATCACTGCTTCTTTTGCAGGCAAAAGACTGGGGAGGTGGGGAAAGTTTCTTCTCCTCCCAATGAAAAATGAGAAGTCTTTCCTAAAGGGAAAGACCACAAGCTCTGGGCACATCTACATGTGCAAATAATCTGGAAGCAGTTTACTTTAGTGTGAAGTACTCTACAGTAAACTCCTGGGCACACATCTACTGTAACAGGGGCAAGCTTGCATGCCCAGTGCACGCACTGGCCCGCCTCCTGTCTGTGGGCCAGCTGCCCACCTCACTATTCTGCCATGCCTTGATATAATAGTAATAGGATGTTACCCAGGCAGGAGGCTACTCATTTTGAACCCTGATAGTTAGGGGGAATATCCACAGCTCCATTTTACCCCTACACTGTGGCTCAAGCCTTGCAAACGGCATCCACCAGTGGTTTGCACTGGGTGTTTCATAACACAGACAGACAAACGCATACTGGGCTCCAAGCCCTCAGCCCCCTCACTGGGGCTCCACACACTGTCCCCTTGCTGGGGTCTGCCACCCCATCTGGCTCAGGTGGCTGTAGCCCTCCATGCCTGGCCCTCTGCCCTGGATATTACACTGTGAGGCTCAGGTGCCCTTAGCCCTGCCTGGCCCCCTCTCAGGCTCATGAAGAGACTGGGCGCTGCTCCAGGTCCCTTTGCTGACCTGGGCCCTGCCTCAGGACTCCCATAAGCCTGGGCTCCCCCCAAGCCAGTTGAACCCACGAGGGATGCAGGGGCTGGGGTTATAAGGTGCCCCACACTCACCTTTCACTGGGAAGCTGATTGGCCAGGCAGTTCTTGGGGACTCCCCCACCACAGGGAGCCCCATCAGACCCTCTCCCCACACCTTCTCCAGCAGGGCAGTTTCACATCTTACCCAGGACAAATGAGGCCTCCCCTGTCCTCCACAGTGTTTCTCCTCTGCTGGCTGATCACGAGCTGGGCCTTAAAATGGCCACTCCAATCAGGCACCTGCCCCTCCCTGGCCCAGTCCTTAAAGTGGCAGGCACTACCTGTGCTCTGTCACATCTACACGCGATGTGTAGATCTGTACCAGGCCGCTGCAGCAGCCAAGGGCAGCGCTAGGCTCCCCCTGGGTCATGGGTGACTGGTGCTTCCTGAGTTAGGGGGGCACTTGCCCCTCCAGCAGCCAGTCAGTGACCGGGGGGAATCCCCCCATGGCTGATCCTGCCAACTGGGGGGGGAGGTCGCCCTGCAGCTAATCCCACTGACCCGCAAGTGGCAGCAGCACACCACTGGCACTTCCAGGCAGGGCCATCCCTGGGGGGGGCATGAATCAGGGCGACTGCCCTGGGCCCTACACTTTAGGGGGCTTCACGGAGCTGGGCAGAGTGGCATGGTGACTCCGCACTGCCACTGGCTTCGCGTCGGCTGCTCAGCACCCCACCCTCACTGCCAAATCCGCCTCTGAATCCAGCACGTCCAGCCGCTCACCCCTCCCTCCCTCCCTCCTGCCACCGAATCTGCTGCCAGCTTCCTCCCATCCAGGGGCAAGGCCCCACACAGAATGATTTGCAACAGGCTTCACACCCTGGTCAGATCATCGGTGCTTCTGGGCACACCACTGGCACTTCTGGGTGACTGCAATCAGCTGCAGGAGGGACCACTTCTCCTGACACCCCCCACTCTCTAGCCGGCGCTTTCAGGGGTGGGGTACCAGCACTCTCGCCTGCCCCCTGCCTGGGAATGCTGGCTGTAAGGGGATGCACCAGCGCTTTCAGGGAGTGCACATGCAGCCCCGTGC